ATATATTTATTTAATATATAGTAATTTCTTATTTTGTATATAATTATAATTATATAACAACTATTTGATTTCAGGTTCTCTTTAGCATATTATAATTAATTTTATTTCTATATCTACTTAGTATAACTATTCAGCATCCATTCTGTATCGAATATGGTTCTGTATCTACTCAGTATAACTATTTAGCATTTATTCTGTATCGAATATAGTTCTGTATCTACTCAGTATAACTATTCAGCATTCATTCTGTATCAAATATGGTTCTGTATCTACTCAGTATAACTATTCAGCATTCATTCTGAATCGAATATGGTTTCATATCTATTTAGTATAATTATTCAGCATTCATTCTATATCAAATATGGTTCTATATCTATTCAGTATAATTATTCAGCATTTATTTTGTATCGAATATAGTTTCGTATCTACTCAGTATAATAATTTAGCATTAATTTATTATATAAACTTATTATTCAGTATATGTATATTATATTCAATATATTATTTGTAATTTTCTTTATTATTTTTGTATATATTTTTTCATAAGGCTAGTTGTAAGAGAAACATGCTTCTATTATCTTATAAAAATAAAAAAAAAATTTTAATAGTTGTAAATTTTAGGTTTTGAATCTACTGATTTAAAAGTAGGTTCACAACAAAGAATTAGATTTGTTTATATATTGTACTATACATTTTTTTTTTTTTGACTTTTTGTCATTTGCTATTTCAATAATAAGAAATTTTTATGATATATATATTATTAAATGTTAATTTATCATTTAAACTTTATATTTATTATGTAGTATTAGGTAAATAAAAAAAAAATTTATTACATGCATGATTCAAATACTAATATAATAAATTTTTTAATTTTTTTTATTTTACAATACTATTTGATATGCTAATTCAATAGGATCATAACTTATATTATCTATATCTCTAGCCTAATTATTTGTAACAGATTCTAAAGAAAATATTGCATCTCCAGATGCTAAACATTCTGTTAACATTAAATCTACTAAATCTGCAATATTTAATATTAAACTTTCCAAATATTCACTTTCATCTAAATTATTAGTCTTATCATTATTAGTATTTTTAACTAAAGTTTTAAGTAACTTATATGTAACCATAGATACTTTCATATAACTCTTCATTATTTAGATTTTTGTCATAAAGTTGAAGTTTTTTATCAGAATTTGAAAGATAATAAGAGTGTATTTTTCTATATCTTCTATTCAAAAAAAACAAAGATGAGTTTGCTTATCACCATAAAACTATTTAAGCATTGAAAAGTTTCTTTTATAAGCAGTTTGCAAAGAAATAATTAAGAATAAACATAATGCTAATTGTTGAAGTTGATCTTAATTATCATTAACATATACACAGGTTGAACAAATGAATAAAGGGTAAATAATAGGTAAATAACAGAAAAAAAAACTGCCATTATTCTACC